GCAAGTTTAAATTTCTTGAGGACAACTTACAAGTGCAGGAAAGTCTTCTGGCTTGGTATGAAGTGCTCATGTGTAGAAAAGTAATTGTATTCCTTTCCTCCCTCTCCTCCTTCCACCTTCTTCCCCTCCCGCAGATGAACAGGCTGAGTTGACTTCTGAATTGCTGCATTTAATATCCCACTAGGTTAATGTGAAATAAAACAAAATGACGGTTTGCATTGCTGTTCACAACCTGGAGTGAGGGGCTGAAAACTTACTAAAATTCAAATGTAATGCAAGTAGCAGTATAAATGGAACATCAGAGGTATAAACATTCTCTGCCTTACAGCCGTGCAAACTGGCAATAGTTCCGTTAAAAGTGAGTTAGGATTCATCAGTATATTGTCATTTCCTTAGGGTAAGTGAGAAAAAACTTGTAACCTCCACTCTTACAGGCAGTGTAGAGCAACATGCTTCAATATTCCACGTCTTTACTAAATGACCACAAGGAACTCTGAGAGGAAAACAGCTAATCTGAGGCATAAGATAACATCTCATTTTTCCAGCTTATCTCTCCTTTTTTCTTGAAATGCTCCCTGTTTTATCTTTCTGACCTTTGAACACCACCAAAAGCACCATCTCATGACAAGGTACCTTGCAACACTTTCCCCCGTGATGCTTATATTTGGGTTAATTTACACTAGTGATTATAAATCACTATCATTATAAATCACCACTAGATCATATAAACTATATCACTGAAACTGTCTAAATACCTGTTTACAGAGGATGGGGGAAGGAAACAGGAACTTTAACTACAGCCATTAAAGTTAAAAAGTTGAAGTTAAGATAGTGTGCAGTTTACAAGGCAGAGAATATCTCCACTCTATTAGTGAAAAGAGGAACAAAAATTGTAATTGATTTATTGAGTTTCTTCTATAAGATTGATTTTTATCTGGTAAAGGAGTTTCAAGGACTGTGTATGTACAGCCAGCACATGGATTTCAATTGCATACCTTTAAAAAATAATTAAGGTCAAAGTTAAATTGTCTCATCTGTTGTATTTTCACTGAATTTGCCTTAATAATTGTTTTAAGCACTATGATAAGAAATGGAAACAGCCAGCCACTAGATGGCATTTTTATTCTAGCTTTTATAGCTGTGCCATTTCAGTCACTGTCCTAAATAGGCAGCCTCGTGTTCTCTCAGTCATGACAACTGTGATCCTATTACAAGTTAAACCAAGTCTTGCTGGAGTAGTTAGAGTCAACTGCTATTTTTCCTTCAACATAGTTGGTAGAAGATAAGGATAGCACGTGTTCTAGAATTTGAATGACCTTGATGGAGGAGCTTTGCTGAGTAATGTTTGTGTGCAGAGGAAGACAGTTCAGAAGGAAAACAGAGAAAAATGAAGTTTCTGCAAATCCTCAAATAGCACTGATGCACAGCACAGGTTTTTGGCCTTAGGAGCTGCCTTTGAGGGGGACATTTGCACAAGGCACCAGCTAGAATACTGCTAGGAGTTCAGACAAGCAAACTGAAAATCTTGGCTTGATTCCTATGGCCTTAGAAAACACAACACTTGCTAAGTTGAGGGTCGTGTCTGTATATGCAAATACTACAGCATAACTCAGATCAAAAGTGGAATTATTAAATAATAGAAGTTTGTACTGTTATAGTCAGTATCTTCTGAGGGTCTCAAAGTACTTTATAAATATAGTATGCTGTCCTTGGGTTTAATTACCTTCATCTCATGGATGACAAGATAAAATAATATTGATAAAAGAAATAAAGGAGTTATTTCTATAAGGCTCTCGAGTTTCAACCAATATATTAACAGGAATCTGTATAAGGAATACAAATAAATATGGTTTCTTGTACCCCAGAATATTATTTCTAGGAGAACTTCGCTAAATGATAAAGAATCATTAGTAAAGCTCTTCATGCTACCTCTTCTGAAAAAATAACTGAGGTGATTTTAAGTCTTTTGGTGGGAAACAGCTAGTTTTATTGTTATTTTTGCTATGTTTTCCTAGTGGACTATATCTTCAGTTGCAAGGAAATTACATTGCAACAAAGCTTAATCTAACTGATTATCTTCATTGTATTGATTGCATTATATATTGAATATATAATGAAATTCACTATTTCATATAATACTTGATTTTTCTTCTTGCACTTCACTTTTATAATCTCAAAATAAATGAAGTATATTAAACTGTAAAACTAATGTTACAGCTTTAAAACCATAAAAAATTAAATATTTGTGCTTTTTGATTGTATGACCAGTGTTTCAAGAAACAAAGAACATAAAAGACTTCCTTTTATATTTTGCTTCACCATATGAAAAATAGATAACATTCTTTAATCCAGCTACTGAAAAAACCCCTGTAAATCAGAAAAATTGTTTCTGAAGATATAGTTCAGTTTCTTCCAGAAAGTGAACACCATGGGGGATTCAGCATTTAAAGCTCTTTACACTTGCTAAGCTTTTACAATAACCTTGTGAGCTAAACATTATCCTTCCATTGTTCATGAGTAAACCACCCTTAAAGAAGCTTAAGTACTATGTTCAAGGTCACAGAATGGACACATTCTGTGGATAAATAAGATTTTTATTTTATTAGACTGAGTGGTTGTAGCTGGCAAAAAACTGGACAAAGTTTTGATATACAAGCCCTATTTACCTTTTGTGAGAGGGCAAGTGAGCAGAAACCTACTTATATGCCTAGAATGAGAAAAAAACCCACTGAAAATATTGATCAGTTACCTGCTCTGTGAAAGTGTGTACTAACACTTACATAGCAGTACTTGATTAAGCTATATATGGTAAGTAATATTGATTAAACTTTAATCAGGAAAGTATTTAAATTTACCCCTAATAAAATGTATTTGGGCTATCAAATATGTCAGGCTCTTTTGAAAGACATTTCACATTTTAAAATTAGTGTCTTGATGTAGATTTTAATTTTAACAGGGACATAAGATTCATTACAACAATAATTTGACTGGGCAAGAAGTCATTCAAGATGCACAAAATATATCAGAGTACGAGTGAAAGGATTAAGCTGAAGCAGAAACTGTTAGTCCCAAAAGATGGAAAGAATTGCAATACACTAAAAAGTTTTTAAACAGAGGTGGGCTTTCTAGAACTTAAAAAAGGCCTAAGAACTTGGGAAGGATAACTCTTCTTTGTACTTATATTATCCTACTATAGTGTAATCAAGGTTTCTGTAAAACTGAAGATAAGCAAGCAAATCATTCATTGATCCAAAACAGATGCATCAGTTGAAGATATCAAACAGCATTTCTGTTAATGACAGTCTAAGAAGAACAGTAGGGAGAGGTAGGTCTATTCAAAATAAAGGATGAAGAGATGCACACTTGATTTTAAAGTCTCATTTAATTTGTTAAAGAAGTTAAGATACATTAAACAGATATTCTGCAATACTAGTTTGCATTACTAGCAAAGTTACGTTCATAATAGCTAAAACCATTGCATTTTGTAATGATATTCTGTTTCCTATAGCATCTGCTATTTAAGAATCTCATCTAAACCAATGCTGAATTAGCCCTCACAACATCCCTGTGAGGTAGGTCAGTGTTACCCTCATTTTATACAAGGGAAAACTAAAGAACAGAGTTTTTAGGTCAGTGTACCAGAAAAACTGTAGGAGAATTAGGTCTAGGATTCTAGTCTTCCATTCCTTGTATTGTGTTTCACATCTGGTGCCTTTCTACCTTTCTGAAAAAGGAGAACAGCCCATAGTAGCTGTCTCCTTCCCCCCAGCCCCCACTTTCCTTTACGTTATACAACTTTGATTTCTCCATCTAAGCTGGTGAACATTGATAAACATCAGCAATTTCTATCTGAACTATACAGATGATGTAGAACATTTGAAGCCCAGAATTAAAGTAACTGAAAATAGACTGTGGGTAGCTACAGGTAGCATCACTGTATCTAGTACCAAAGATAAAAGTCTGAATTTTGTCAGTGTTCCTGCTTCTGCAGCTTAGTAACACATGGCTTTTCTAGAGCAACTTTCTTTTGAAGAGGTAAAAGGACTCAGGACTGATGAAGCCTCTTATCTGCAGGGAGTCTATCCCTGACAGACTGCCATAACGAGAGGATGGTTTGTGCAGCAGTGCACATGTAGTGCAGTCATGGTCTACCCACGTTCCCTCTCTAAAGTAAACAAAAGCATCTACTTTCTATAGGACAGACAATGAAGGACATTGTATTGCAGAGCAAATCACTTAACTGAGGTAGAATTTGAACAATTGAGAACCAGAAAACACAAACCTGAATTGCTGGAGATGTTCTTTCCAACAAACTTGACAAGGGAATTATAGTTATGTGTACTGCATGGACTAAAAGAACAAATGTCTGAAAAACACTTTGCAATAAAATGGCTTGCTTTTAAACACAGCATTTACATAGTTATTTTGAATTAGTTATAAAATAGCATCTTAGAACAGTAACTTTAAAATATATATATGTATGTAGTTTTCATACCAGTGCCTACACAAGGTGACTAAAAACCTTTTTTTTCTAGTGCTACTTGTGCACTGTGTGTGTCAGACAACAAGAACATAGTGAAAGCAATCTAAGTCAGAGTGCAGCAAATGCTAACAAGAGATCAGTAAGGAAAATTTAAGTCTAGTTTGTCCAAAATTCTTGACTACTGCTTCATCATATATTAAAAGAGAATTAGAAGTTGTAGCCATCAGTACTAGTAGATCACTGTGTAATTTCCCATTTTATATTAAGTGGGATTCTAATGTCATCTTAATTTTTAGAGTTTCAGGTCCTGGAGAATACTCTACTCAACTATCCCTTATATTGAAAAGTGCTAGTTAAAAAGATTCCCATTTCTTAAAAGAATGAGCAATTTAAAATATAAAATCAGAAGATTGTCCCCCATCCAAGCAGAGTGTTCATTAAAATGGCTCTCTTGTGTGTTCCGTGAGTGATCTGAAGACCAGAGTTCCTATTTATAGTATTTCAGGTGTGGAAGATCTTTGATATCTCAGGGCCATTATCAGTTTTCTTCAGGCCTTGAAGGAAGCTCGAACTACTCTCCCCTTGAGAGGCTGAGGGGGGCGAAAATTATTCACCATTTGGATCCTCTGGTCTTCCTCACTGGTGAAGAGGAGCATGCGGAATTTCTCCAGCTGTAAATTCAGGTGAAATAGTTTACTGCTTAAGAGGGCAATCAACATTAATGTTTTTTAAAAGGGACCAAAGGAAAATATTCATTTCATTTTAATTTGTTAATAGAACAGATTCAAGCAAAGACCCTAGAGAGTACTAACAGAAAAACAGAAGCCCTGATTATTGAACGGGCTTATTATTCACAGGCTAATGGTCTTTTAACTTAGCCCCACTGCAAATCAGAACAGTCACTGTCTGTTTATCCAGTGTGGAATCCTACAAGAATTGGGAGAGTATCAAGAGTTTACCTGTTTCTCAGAAATTCTGATGGGTTCTTTCAGCACTATCCATGTTACACTCTCATTAAGGGGTGGTGTTGTCAAAGAACCAAGGTATGTCCAATAATCTAGACTCAAAGGGAGGAGACATTTGGGGTTGAAGCTTCTAAATTGAGCTTTTGTTCCCTGGGGGAAAAAACAAAACAAAACTTGACATTTATCTTTTTAATTTTAAGTTCTCTTTTTAAAAGAGAAAAGAGCTAAAGTAATATTAAAAGTAGGGGAAAGGAAAAGTCTGTAAAGGTCTGGCTGCCTTGTAACAACTGTTATCCAAGAGTTACATGGCAAGTGTGATGCCTGCTGTTGGTTTACTGGACTTTGAGTTCTTGCCTCATTGCCACTACCAAAGTTCAGCTCTTGTCACAAAAGACCTACAAATAATGCAGGAAGTGTGTGCTGTATATAGTGTTCAGCATGAGCTATAGATAATATCATGGCACAATTCCTTATCTCATTACTTGCTACTTTCTGTGCTTCCCATGGACTTCAGTAGAAAATTTGAAACTGTGGAAAACTGGGCCCCAAACAGCCATTGTCTGCTAGGACAAATATTGGCTTTAAAAACCAAGTGTTCAAGTCTAAAATTGGAGGAAGCTGGATCAACCAAAATAACAGTAGATACAGAAGGAGGTGCTGCCTAAAGCAGAGATTGCCTGAACTACCACAGTCTAGGGCAAGATTTTTCAGCCTGTAGAAGTATCTGAAAGGTACTTAGTCCCTCAGAAAACACTGTCCAATTGTCTGTAAAATTGCTCCCAAGGAACAGGATGAGCAGCTTGTCCCCAGTGCCAAACTTGCAGACCTTCCATCACTACAACCAAGGGCTAACTATTTATTTCCTGCAAGTGGAAGAAATCACTTAAACATCGAAGTATCATTTAGTGTGTCTGCAGCCTACATGTTGCCATGTAACTGCCTTCATTTCCTGTCCTTCACAAGCATATGAAGAGGAGCGAGAAATAATATGCCCGCTCAAGTATTAGTTATAGTTTATTCTGTATATTAGAACTTATGCATGTTACAGAATGTGTTAAGCTCATGTGAATCCAGAAAGGATAACATCTGTAGTGGTCTAACCAGTCTGCACTTGAGAAAGCGCAGCAGGTATCAATCTTCAGCAAAGCTCTCAGATACATCTGGCTAAAGTCCACCTTCAGGTACCACTGTAAGCATAGACTAGCTCAGTGTAGACCTCATTACAATTGTCCCCTGACAGAGCTTTGCAGCAGGAGACAGACAGCCAGCTTTGACTTGTTCAACGTTAGGCTCAATGGAAAAGGATCATTTTTCTGAGTGTAAGAGCTGACCCTAAAGGGTCGTAGAGCTTTTGGTTTTAGATACTCTGGGAAAGGTAGAATCTCTGAATGACCGGCGAGGTCAGCATAGCCTTGGGAGGCACCTGAGATCACACAAATAAACTGGACTTTGGAGAGAAAGAGAAGAATACAACTACAGTGATGTTCTAGTGATGGGAGGATATGTGGTGGGTGAATTTCCATTTTTGTCTCAAACATTTACATGAACTTGATTTTTAAAGGGTATCTCAGAGACAATTAAATTTAAAGAGCTTAAAACTTACTTTAAATTTTACCATGTAGAAAGCATCAGTGAGTCTGTTCATATTGGCATGTTCTTTCCCAATCTAAAATAATGGAATAGACAGGTTAAATAAGAATGACCATAATGATGCTTTGAATAGGTGTTTTCTTATTTGAATCTCAACATTCCTACTAAATTAAGTTTAATAGCAGTTACAATGAGTTACTGCTTCCAATAAGTCATCTGTTTTCCTTAAGCACTTCTTAAATATGTGGCTTGGTTCTTAAACACTTGACAGCATAATGCTTTCCATCATGTAAACATGCTATTTTTGTGATTCTTACCTCCAAGAAAACACCAACTACTGCCAAGCCATCTGGAGCTGCTGCTGCTTCTCCAAATGTTGCATATTTTCTGGCATTCCAGTGAACTAAGTGGAGCTTTAGAGAAAAATAACAAATAAGAATTAACAATTAGTGACAGAAGCTGTGAACATAGGTTCTCATATTAACCAGTACTAATGACTATTCATAACAATGTAGGTTTTGCTCCAAAGGCAACTTGGGAGCCAGCTTCCCTAGTAAAGGCCTTCATCCCGTGAAACACTGCTCCAGTACTCACTGGTAGGCTCCAGGATGCTACGCTGCTGTAGTATTTGGGATAGATTGTGCTGAGAAAGGCCTGTGCCTGGTCTGAGCTTTGCTGAACTCTCTCAAGAATCCTCAGATGTAGCCATTTCTAAGCTGTGGGTAGCACCAGCATGGTTGTTTCAAGGTTGTGATCATCAGCTGAAGCCTAAGCTAGCTACGCCAGGTAGTGGAGCTACACATGGCTTCTCAGCATTAGGTTTGTCAGTATGTTCTTCCCATCTGTACACATAAAAGGATACCATCAACTGTGTGCCAGCAGACTAAACTACACAGCAAAGGGCTTTTTGAAGTGCTGGGTGAGCACAGCAGCTAAACTGGCACTAGCTGTGTCCTGTTGAATAGGAGAAGATGACCAAGAATCTCAGGGAAAGGGCTGCACTGGGGGGATAAGGTCACATTCTAACAACCAGGGTGATCAATAGATAGTAACTTCACTGTAAGGGATAAAATTCTCATTAAAGTCCATGCTGACCTAACCATGGTGAGTAAGCAATCAGAATCCTAAGGGACATGCAGTCCCCCCTGCAGACAAAGTCATTTGTCAACAGTATTTGCATGAATTAATCTCATCTGTAAAAACACATCATTACCTCACATGGAAAAGGTTTGCCATCAATTGTGTGCTCTGATCCCTGGTTGTGCTTTGTCCCCCAGTGAAAGTGAAACTGCTTTAGCCGAAATGGATTCTCAAAGGGACCACCACTGATTGCTAGGCAGAAGAAAAAAGAGAGGAAAAATCTTAAGCATTCTGGCTTTTAGCTTCCCATTAGTAAAAACTAACCATTGTTGGCACAATAGTGGAAAAAAGCCAGCAACATCTCCCATTTGCCAATACCAAATATATGCCTCAACCAGACATTTAGAAGAGTTAGGTTTCTTAATGGAAATCACCTGAATTAATGTAAAAATTTAAATTAAAAAACATTGAGTGGCTACATGTACAGAATTTTGTAGCTTTTTTGTAAGAGTATATTTGACTTATGAAGATAAGTCAGCTTTTTTATGGCTATGCCTTTCTTGTTAAGCACAGTAAATCCAAATTGAATATTAAAAAAATAAGTCACAATTGGAAACTCATGTACCTAAAGTATTTTTGACAGTACTACTTGAGATTTTGTGCAAGAGTGTAGATACTTTGGGCATCAGGCAGACAATTCAGCTAAGTATTTCCTCTTTAGAGTGTCTTTCCTTCCTGTTATCTATATTTCATTTTCTTTAAAACTTGATCCCATAAAAGAGGTAATGAAATAGCTTGTACTTTACATGACACCATTCCATTCAGAATCTCAAGCCACCTTATGAAGATGAGGAAATACTACAGAGAAACTTGATACATCATTTAGAAATAACATTTAAGAGCAAATGAATGTTTAACATGCCACCTGTAGAAGATACTTTATCAACAGCATCAGTAATCCTCCTGTAATTTTATATGGCACTAAATCAAATAAATTTCACTCAGACATTAAAACCTGATCTAAGTCTTTTATGAAGAAAATTAAAATTACATTTAGTATCCATAGAGCACTTTATCCTCAGTGTAGCCCATAACACTATCAAAAGAATTAAAGCTGGGTCTTGCACAGTGCTACCACATGTGCATGGATCCAGCTGGCCTTTTGCAGGAAACTGGCCTTGCCAAAGCAAAGGTTGCAGTATTAAGAATACAAGCACTTTCTAGTGTGTTTTTCTGAACTTAGCAGTGGAATGTATCACTGTCTCAAACATTATTTTCATAAATCTAGCTACGATGGGTTACTGTCAAAATTCTGTTGTGCCATTTATGCAGAGCTGTGAGTCATTAGATCATTTTCAGTACAACTAAAAACATTTTAAGCCATGATTTCCACTCCTAGCAGTCTTCTTCCTCAAAAGTGCTATTAAAACAAGCAATGTGCTTAGCATAGAAAGGGCAGAGGTCTTCATTCCTGCACGTGCTTTGAATCTGTATCTCTGAATGCAGAGTAATGGATTATGTCCTTAAACTTATAGATGTGGATAAAGTTCACTGTTATGTAGATAAAGTTCAGCTTAGAATTGCATGGAAGTAATTTAGCAAGCTAAGATAATGCTTCCAGGTATATTTTACAAATTCTTTGTAGGGTGACATGCTTAATAGATCTGTGTGGTAAGATTTTAGAAAAATGCATATCCAGTCTTCTCTTCAAAGTCAGTAAAGATGCTCAAAAACCTGATCGCTCAGTTGGGTATTCTTAGATTCATTCCAGGAGATAAATTTTAAAACAAAATGACTGGAATTTTAACTTCCAGACCTTATTTCAAAGGGTTACCAGCACAGACAAGTCACTTCACAGAAAAAGTAACTAGTTTTGAATATCTAGGATATCCTATTTAGCTATAATCAATAAACACACCCAAATGGAAGAGTAAATCAGCTGACAGATTTAAAATTGTTGAGTAATTTTTAAAAATGCTCTCTTTCCATTTATAAGCTACTTAATCATCTCCATTTGAATGCTTTTCCCCTACTCCCAACATGTAAAAGCAAGATCTACCATGGGAGTAGAATTAACAGAAGTAATCAGTCACTTAAAGCATTTGTTTTCTCTGCCAAAAGCTAAGAGACAAGAATAATATACAACTACAGATAGTCCAACACCCAAAAGCTGCTGCCAAGTCAAAATTAGCTGAAGATTTTTATAATTTCTGAAGAAACTGAACTGCTATGAGGCAGGGAAGAAAGAATAAAACGATGCAAGGTAACAGTTAGTGACTGGTCCAGATACAGCTTAGTACAGTTGACTATGATTATGATGACTACACTGCACGACCTGATCTCTGCTAATCCTCTTCTGTTCCCTACCCCTGTGGATGGAAACTGGGCAGTGAGCCAGGCAGAGCTGGCAAGCGTGGCAGCATCTTTGATTTGGATGATCATGAGAATAGGGCAGCGAGGAGTGTACATACCTACTCCTGTGCTGGACGTAGTCTAGGAGTGCTGGAGCGATGCATGGATTCCCTGTCTAGCAAACTGACAATTCCCATTTAAAAGGGAAGCACGGCAAACCAACTTCTGATTTTCCTGGTACAAGAGCCTTTCCTAATGCAGGAACACTACTCTGCAGTGCCATATTGCATTGCTGGAGAGACTTCAGACAAGAAATGTGAGGCTCAAGAAGACAAAATATGAAGGGCTCTGGTCATACGCCTTGTTCTAAACTGAAATTATACATCATATAAAATACACTATACAGGATGTACTTAATTGTTTCCCTCACTAAGTCACAAGATGGTATTCTGAGAATTAGTTGGCTGTGTGTTAGTCTCACCTGTCTTGTCATCAGTATCTTCAAACTCAACCATAACTGAATGGCCATTGTTGGAGATGTTGAGAGAGGTACATGATTCATAGGAGATAATAAGTGGCTTCAGATTAGGGTCATAAACTGCTCTTGCAGAATCTATATCAATAGGTGACTGGCGGTTCCCTTGGGCAATAGGATAAGATTTGTGCCATTCTGAAGGTCCTTCAAAAGGAAAGAAAGGAAAGCACCATTATTTTCTTCCTTCTATACACAAAATAATCATTACAGGTTTTCATGAGGCTTGAAGTAAAGCTTGCTGAGCAAGAGTGACTTGAAAGTTTGGTATCTGAGAAGTTCACCTAAATTCTAAGCTGGTGTGTTTTTATTAGCACAAACAGGCTGCAACAAGATGGGGGATTCAAATATCTTGTACAAAACACTGAGAAAATCGCAGATGTCAGACTGCTGTATCTTCAGCTACTTGTGCCACTGATTTTCCACAGATTGTAATTACATTGCTAAGGTATCTGAAGAGCTTCCAAGGTGGGTGCAGATGTAAACACTCTCACATGCACACATACACTCCCTCAAAGAAACAGCATTTAATTCTTCATGGGAAAGATAGTGTAAAAGCTCCAGTGATTGAAATTAGATGCAGATGACTCAATCTCCTAGCTCCTGACTATGCAGTTATTTTTAAAACCATTTTATGACTGCAGTAAATCTTTGAGGCAGCTTCATTCTTCACTCATGCCCATTATGGTATCTCTCTACCCTGAGTGAGGGGTATAGTGTGATAATTAACATTTTTGGACTTCCTGACCTCAATAGAGTGCAGAGAAAGACCAAATTAATAACATAGCTCTCTGCTGTCAGAGCTGGAACATTCTTACACTATTTTGAGACAACAAAAATTTATCTATATCAAAGAATTAGTTATTCTTACCCTTTCTTTTTCTGCTTCGGTATGGTGGTGCAAGAAGCAATTAAATTCTTCTACTGCTTATGTTCAGAAAATATTAACAGTAACAATTTTACTTTAAGAGTCCCAAGAAGCACATTTTTAATTGTAGCATTCTCATACTTTCACAAGTAGAAACTTTATAAAATTAAGCACAGGTATTTACCTTCCTTGAGTTTATGTAACAAAAATAGTGATCTATTATTATCAAGCTTATAAAATAATATCTTTTCTCAGCCTACCTATAAAGCAGATTTAGGATTTAAATGCTGTTACACAAGCTTAGGCAACATAATTTTTTTCCTATGCGCTTTGTAAAATTATACATGGCTTTATTACTACTACCTATATGCCCAAACACATGACACCATCTACTATCACTAACTAGCTTCACTTAATTTTCAGACTTGCTTTTGGACTCACAGGAGCTAATATAATTGCTGTTAAGAGAGAGACTGGCTCCTGAAGGTTATGCAAGACTCGTGTTGGACACTTAGCAGCTAAAATAATTGCTGTCAAAAGAGAGAGACGTTCCTGAAGGTTATGCAGAAGATTGTCTTATTGGACACCACCAGTCACTCATCCATCCCTCTCTGTAAAGGATACGGGTGCTTTAAACCACTATCGTAGGAATCTTTCAGTAGCTTCAAATATCCTCTCACTCTGTGACACACATTCTTGGAGGCGGGAAGCAAAGGAGGACGACTAAATTAAAAACTGTCAAATCGGAAAGCATAAGTTGTTCTATAAGATATCTCTGATACCGATCTGTACAATTGATTGATGTTTTAGAAATACACAGCATATACGTTATTTTATGCACTTCTATGGAAGCTGCACAGGATCAGAAGATCTATTACTGCTCTACTAAATCTTCTTTACTTAGAAGAATTGCTTTTGGAGAGACAGGCACAGCTAATCCTTTTCATAACAGCTTTTTGGAAAGGGACTTATCTGTAATAACTGCAGCCTGACTCAGTGCTGCTTCCCTCAGTTTTGGAATATTGATTGCAATAACGAAAAGGCAGCAGGCATAAGTTTGTGCCTCTTTTGGTGCTGCTTTCTGGGTGCTATTTATTATCAATAAAGTAATTAATTACCTGCTGTGTATACTTGATGCTGGCAGACATCAAAATGCAGGCAGCTCTGCAGGGCTCAGGCAATAGTTCTAGAAAGAAAATGAGGGGAAGATAGAGAGATGCAGCATGGAAATGCTGTGACCTACCGTCATCCTGCCCATATCCCCAACTGCGGTGGCCAGTCATTATAGGGGAGCTGCACCCTGCCTTGCTCTCAGCTCTTAGATCAGGGCACTGCTGCTTACCTGCCTTTATAATGGCTCACCGTGGGATAGGGTCAGCCCCTTAAAGATACAGAGCAGCCAAAGCAATTCCTGCAGGACAGGGAAAGGATCTGCCTTGCTCCTGCTCCTGCTCCTGCTCCTGCTCACGCTCACTCTATTTGCTAACTCAGCACAGGAGAATGAAAATGTAAAACTAGGAAAACTGAAGTCCCAGGACTTAGAGAGGAACCAAGACTGTTCAGGTGGTGTGGGGATCAAATTTAGGAAAAAGTTGTAGTATTTTCCTGTTCTACACCACAAGGCATCAAGAGCCATAATCTGCTCTGAGCATCAGGGCACAGTAACGTGCAGATTGTAATGGGAACCGCCCTTCTCACTTTTATCTTCTGCAGGGGGAAACATCACCTCGTTACTGCCTCTCTTTTCTTAAACACTCTCTCCAGCTGCAAGAAATGAATTATGTTTCCACCTGATTTGTAATTGAGATTTCAGAATCAGTGCTTAGATGAGATGGAGAACATTCTCATCTCAGAAAAAAATAAAGGATAAATTGGAAATATGTTTTTTTTTTCTTTGTAACTGTAAAGAAACTTTTTAAAAAGAATAAATTAAAAGTGTGGCTATATTAGGGAACAGGACACAGCAGACTCTAGAGAAAGGAGCTGATCTGTGCAGCCTCGGTTATCTGGTATGATCCAGTAGTTGCTGGTACCCTGCTAAACCCATGAAGAGGTTACAATGAGTTACCCAACCTGCAACTGTAAAATGTCTTAAGACATTTTTGTGGCAGGAAAAATGACTCCTTGGTAGTAATTTTGTTAGATCTGAGGAAATGCTGTCTGTCAAGGCTACATTGTATAAATATATTGATTTGCATAAAGACAACAGTACACAGAAATAGGGTTTCTTCTATTATGCAATCAATAAAATGGAAGAAAAAATCAATTAAAGCATTTTATGCAACTTTAATGTTGTGGTACTGCCTTGTAAGCATTAATTACTTTTTTTTGGGAGCTTTCCATAGGATTCGGCTATAAAATCTTTGAGATTCACTGATGCAAACTGAATCACTCAATAAGAGATGTAAACTGCTGTAAAAGTGTCCACAGAGTAGTTCTACAATGATTTACTCAGGTCAACTTCTCAATTTATTTCTGTTAAACTACTGTGATCTCGTCAGGTCCCTGGCACACACACCAGGCACTGGTACCGCAGGGAAGTCCGTGGCCGAACAGCCTGAGTCCCCACGGTGACTCAAGTTCTGGAACCAATACAGCAGCACTACCATTGGGTTAGAATCCTTTGCTGCTTGGTAGGACAAACAAGGTGTGAGAAAGTGTGATGCTTTGGTTCTTGTTCTTGTGGGGCCCTGTGCTGTGAGAAACTTCAAGAGAAACTTGAAAAGTGAGGCTCAGGTCTTGCTGGCGGGGCACAGTGCCGTGGCGGTGGCCCAATGGCCACATGCACCTGACACCGTTCACCACGTCAGCTTTTATCTTCTCCCATTCAGAAACACACAGATGTCTACGCGTGTGGACTACAAAGGCAGGGCATAGGAAGAAGTTTGAGACAAGAGAAAACATACTGAAGACATGGCAGGAAGTGGACTCCACAAAATGGAAGTTTAAATGGTTGGATTTAGAAAAAGTGACAAGGGGGAGAGACAGCACCTGAGAGGAAAGACAAAAATAGCTCTAAAATATTTTAGCTACAAATGAGAGACAGGGTGTGTATGACAGTTTAGTGTGCTCCCCCATCTAATCAGCCTTCTTTCTTTTTGAGGAAAAATACTAAGTTTTCCCTAAAATTAGGGTAATACTGCTGCTTAAAATATCACATTATTCTGTAACCCTGATGCCTCTTGATATTGGCTTCCTCTAAGGATGAATTTTCACTGATTCTGTCCTCAAATTACCATTTATCACTTCAAAAGTTGCTGTAGTGATCTAATTCTGATCTCAATTTTACTAGTGTGAATCTGGGATAATTGCATCACACTCATGAAGCCAAACTTATGGAAGTGAGAAGAACAGAGTGGTAGGTGCATAAATGGTAGATTTCTCCAATGCTGAGCTAAAAGTGAAGCACTCGTGATTTCCACAATTTCTCATGGGCTTTGGCTACCTCTCAAAAGCGACTGCTTAGCAGTGAGTGACAGGAAAATGTAGTTCCATCCAGTACAGTGAAAAGTTTCAAACTACCTTAAAGAATAATTCTGTCTTCCCCAGACTTCAAACTTACAGTTTTATGCCTTTTTGACAGTACTGATGAGTGAACAGAGCAGCAGCCTAGGACAAATACATGGGTTATTCTTCTGAACCTGTCACTATGTTGTGATACTGAACTAACAACAAACACTTCAGTTTTCCCATCCCTGTGCGTGGAATCTTTGATTTAATTTGAGCTCTCTTTATTAAAATTGCCAGGTAAGAACTAACCATTACAGTTAGAAAGCTCCAAGTGAGATCGGAATGCCAAAGAGAAGTTGAACATATTAAGCTTTGCAGGTTTGAGGAAATTGACTTTTTGAACCTCTAAGGCAAGTTGTCCCTATAATACAGGTCTGGAGTCACTGGGAGATATTCACACAAGAAGATCATGTCACTTGAGGATAACGCTTTTGGTATATATCACTGTAGAGGGGCAGAGCTGCATTTTAGGAGACATAAAATGAAAGAATAGTTATTTGGTTCCGAGCTGAATGACTAAATAGCACTCTAAGTGTATTTCCGTAAGTAACTTGGCAATTGTCTTTGCTGAACATCTTTAATAATGGTGACACACATTTGAACAAGGTGTTATGTGCCTTCTTAATTTATATGAGCGTGTTTGATGTGTCATTGCCTATTAACAAAAATATGGCAGAAATACAGTCAGTTTGGGTACAGGCTGCTCACTCTAGAGCCTTTGAAGTACAATAGGTAGGAGCAGATTAAATGTTAAAACATTCATCACTCCAGAGCTTGCCTGCACCTCAGGTTTTTGAAAGGGTATCTTGTTTATCCAGGGAGCTCATCTCTCTTCTTACATTGCCATTACTAATGCTGGCAGTTCCCAAAGGGGAGTTATACCAAGGTAACATCTGTTCTTCATGTGTGCGTTAAAATAGTCTAGAATGAATCCAGAAACTGCACAAAAACACTTCACAAGGTAAATACAAACAGGAGGGTGTACTGCCAGCACTAAACATTAAAAAGCAGAAGCATTACAATTTTTTTTTTCATTTTTATTATGTTATTTAAAAAGTGACTTGTTGATTGACATAGAAATTTCAAATTTTATATTCTCAAGTTTTTCTTTGCAAACACAAAAATGTGATGAGTGTATATGGAGATTCTCATGCATCCAGTGTAACTTTGGGAGCTGAAAGTGGTAATCCTTCTCCCACAGCTACTTAGTGAGATCAATGAGATTTCTAAGGGAAAGAACTCAACATTTATTTACTGGGAATCTCTTCCTGGCATAAGGGGTATGAAAAAAAAAAAAGGTCCCTAAGTGAAGAAGAGATTGAGAAGAAAAGCATATAAAGATGCATAAAATTAGCAGATAATTTTACAAGAGAAAAAAATTGAATAAAATATGGGCCAAGAGGAAATAAGGAATCTATTTGGAACATTCTGTGCCAAGTGGGGCAGAAAAAGAGGAAGGGGGTACCTGACTCCCTAGGAGTTTCCCAGCCTTCACGTGCCACTCTTTATTATTACTTGTCTTTGACTTTGAAAGCTATACACACTTGGCCGCTTTATATCAGAAATGAGGGCTATATTTTGGAACTGTCTGAAATAATAATTCTTATAATTTATGGTGTGTCCAGTTGAAACTGAATAATTGTAGCAGATAGCAAGAACAGAATGAGACTTTTGATTTTGGTAAACAGAACATTCCCACAAATATTGCAACAGTGATTGAAATTTCAACAGAAGGAAGGATTTACTGTGCCACAGCAAACACAAAGCCTAAGAAAAATGAACTTTGGAGATACTGTATATGGGGAAAAAAAAGAGGAAGCGGTGATTGAAATTTCAACAGAAGGAAGGATTTATTGTGCCACAGCAAACACAAAGCCTGAGAAAAATGAACTTTGGAGGAGATACTGTATATGGGGAAAAAAAAAGAGGAAGCATTGTGTTGTATTACAACGTCATCTGCAAGGTATAAATCACTAAATTATAATTGCACTGTTGTATATTTTATTCCAGCAGATATATAGCAAATTAAATTTACTCAAGAGAAGCATATTAAAAGGATAACAGACTCTTTAATGGGCTAACAAACCAGCTGGAACGATGCACACATTTTAGGATCTCTCTTTGGTTTTGGAACTTAGTGCCAAAAACTTTGGCTAGAATTTTTGAAGACGTTAAAGTTTTCTCTTTTTTTTTTGTACACCTTTACGGTACAATCTGTATTGATCCTACAGGGAAAGATTTTGACAACAGACGTACATAGACACGACAGATTTCAGATTTTATTGTCTCGATCCTCAGTAGAAATAGCTGTAATGACGCACAGCATCTCTGCAAAGGACACCCGGACCGACCTTGCTGAGTGCAGTTATCTGCAGGGCTTCTGACTCAGACTGCCCTGAAAGGCTTCGAAACTTCTTACCAGAAAGTGGGTTGAGATTAAAAAAACCCACCCATTTTGAACACGAATCCCAGGAACGGCATCTTATGTTTAGAAATAAGTTCCCGAAGGAAGCGGGATCCTCTGCTCCTGTGCTGGCGACTCCACCGGCTGCAGGCTCCCCGGAGACACCCGGCCCTGCCTGGCCAGCACATC